AAATAAATAATTGTTTTCACCAAACAATGTAAATTCCCAGAGTGAACACAGCTAAATAATACTGGCTTCCTGCTTTATATTTTCCTTTCTCTAAAAATGTTCCATTTACAACAATACTAAATGAAAAAGAAAGTCCTACTTGTAATATAAAAGCATATAAGTGAAGGCTGATTAATTACATCTGCAGTATCTAATCTGAAGAGAGTAGAATTGAATTGGCAAAGAGGCACAAAAAGGTTGATTTGTAAGACCTTTAGTCAAGTTCAGTGCTTCTCATTCCAGAGTGATTTTATTGCCCAGGGGATGGTTGGCAGTATCTAGAGACATTTTTAGGGATCACCTTTGGGGTAGGGGTGGAGAGCTTTGTGCTGCTACATCTAGTGATGACTGAAGATGTTGAACATTCTACAACAACAGGACAGTTTTTCAAAAAAAAGAAGTTTTCAGCCCGAAGCATCAAGTGGGCCAAGTTTGGAAGCCAAGCAGTGTCTTCACCATCTTTGATTTACTCATAGTATTTTCTTTTGTCCGTTATTCCTCAGAAAAATACAGAAGAATGACCACGTAGAGGTAGTAGTAATAAAGCTGAATTGTCCAAGATGTTGCTAATTGAAAGGCAAAGCTCCTACGTAATGTTTAGTTATACTGAGTCGGGTGAGCTAGGAGACAACCCCTTTAACTCACCAAAGTACAAAACCCGGTTTCACCATTTCTTGGATACAATTCCTCTCAAACCTTTTTCTCAGAATTAAATTCTGAAAATAGCAGGGTGATAAGGTATGTTCAGCAAAGGACTTGTGTTATTTTTTTCCTTAATGTGAGCTGAACAGCATGACAGAACAGGGGCAAAAGAATCGATTTAAGGTATTAAGTCCAAACGGTCAGAGCTTCCACAGTGCGGCAACAGCGCTGCATTAGTCCAAGTCAGGAGAGTTGAAATAACAAAGCCCAGAGAAGGTTAAGGTCAAAGTGCGCTGGAAGACCAGCCTTGAAGCATCCTCTCCAACATCTTAGCCATTTGTCCGGGATGTCGCCCAGCCAGGGACAGACACATTGTAGAGCAAAACACGGGCAACTTTCTCTAGCCCAATGGAGGGCTCAGGCACACAGCAAGCAAGGTGCTGGGTCTGGATTAGAAATTTTTGTTCTTTTTTGGTACCGGGGGTGGGGAGGTGGGGGTGGGGGTGAACCTGGGACCTTGTGCTTGCTAGGCAGGCGCTTAAACCGCTGAGATATCTCCCTGGCTAGATTAGGAATTTTATCTGATTTCTTCCACTCCAAAGCTCAGAATCAAAATCCCTAGTCAGTTCTGATATTCAGGTTGAATGCATCACTGTCTCTAAATAAAACAAAGAAAATACTGCACAATAAACCTTAATATACTTGCTAATCACCCTTGTTTATACTGTCGCCTTGCTTTTTATTCAATTTACACCCTCTCTGCTCCCCACAAATGGTTATGCAGACGGTTTGACAATTTTGTTAAGTTGGTCATATGAACAGAGCAAAAGTAAAAAATTAAAAGTTTGAGCCGTAGGCCTAACACTACAGCCCTTTAAAAAATAATGAGCAGTCCCGCATCACCCCGCCTCCCTTCCGGCCAGGGCGCCAGGGAGCTCCAGCAGTGCGCCTGCGCGGTTCTCGGCGCTTACGTCACTCAGCGCAGGCCGGTCGGCCGCTACTGCGCAGGCGTGAAGACCTCGGCGCTTTGGGGGCTGTGGGCGGCGGTTTCCTTGGAGACCGAGCGGCAGCGGCGGGAAGTCGGCTGCTGTTGGTCGCCGCAGCACGGGCAGGCCGGGGGCGGGGCCGGAGGAGGAAGGTGGCCGCGGCTGGGAGAGGAGTAGGATGAGGATACCGCTATGGAGCCGGCGGGCGGCTCGCAGGGTGCGCCAGGGCCTCGAGAACCCGGCCTTCTCCGGGGTGTGCGCGGGAGGTCGGGTCGGGGCGAGGTGGGGCTGGCGGGCGCCCGCAGCGGCGGACGTCGGGACGCGGACGTCCCTCCCGCCCCCGCTCGGTTCGTTTCGTTTTCTCGGCCTCCATAGGTGTTCGCGGCTGGCACCTTGGGAGCGAGGCCCCACTCCGTAAAACGGGCAGGGCGCCTCAGCCCCGCGGACGCGTGTCGGGGGCGCACCTGCACCCGACCGCCCTGGGAGCGGGCGCGAGTCCCAGAAGCAGCCCCGGAAAGCCCCCCGCTTCCTGGCGGGTCAGGGTTGGGGAAGCGCGGCACCGTGTGGCTTCTCTTCCTAGACGGAGGTTGAGGCCTGGTCCTCTGAGGGTGGGAAGGCGGGGCGTGGGACGTCGCACGTCTGCCCCCGGCCCCCCTGCGCGGCCTAATTCCTACGGTTAATATTGTGCATCGTTTTGGCATCGGTCAGAACTAAGAAATGAACCTTGCAGTGCAAGGAACCTAACAAGGCTGTAATCAGATTTTGCTAGATTTTCTGCGCTTGCTGCTTTTTTCTTCCTGGATCCAAACGAGTATCACTTTGCATTTAACCTGAATTAAGTTTAACCAAAGTGAAGAGCAGGATTCACACACGGCACCTCCGCTCATAGCATTAACTAGTTTTTTTGTTGTTGTTTGTTTTGTTTTTAATTGCGTATTTATTGATCCGGGGGCTTGAACCCAGAACCTCCATCAAGTTAAACTTGTGCTCT